TGCATGCCACAGGTGGCACGCCGGGACCTCTCGGTGGGTATGTGAGCTGTTGCCCCAGCTCACCTCCCCTGAACATGCCTCCCACCAGCCAGCAGGATTTTCGGATCTCTGCCATGCATGCACGGGGGAGGGGAGCTCATGTTCTAGCTCAAGGTTGACTCAGCCTTCCATCCTTCCGAGGTGGGTGAAATGAGGACCCAGACTGTGGGGGCGATATGCTGACTCTGTAAACCGCTTAGAGAGGGCTGAAAGCCCTATGAAGAGGTATATAAGTCTAACTGCTATTGCTATTGCTATAGCTACATGCAGTTGCCCAGACTCCATCCTGCAAGGGATTATGGGAGTCATTAAATGATGATGATGATGATGATGGTGATGATGGTGATTTTAGGTCGGAACCTTTGGAGAGAAGCAAGCTTCGATAACAGTCTCTCCCCGTTTGTTCCAATAAACGAAAGGAGGCGGCCTTCACTGGGTCTTGGCTGGCTATTGGTCAGGCCATCTTTCTTCTGGTCACTAAGGAAAATAGCCAGGATCACCTAACAGCAACCACTGCAGAACAGAGAAAGTAAAATGGGTCCTATGAAAATCTGCTTAACGATTGGCACGACTCAACAACCGTAATGCTGGACTCAAGTTACAGTCGTTAAGTTGACAATTCCAATGTGGACCAGGGTTTCTACCAGTACGGCACGGTTCAGCCAAATAGGTAGCAACTCCGGCGGACACGTCACCGTACCGGTTCTATCCTCAACGACCCCATCTTTATTTCCTGTTCTGCACATGCGCAGAACAATCTTCGTTGAAAAATCTTCATTTCCCCCCCCCCCCTTTTTTAATGGTGTGTGCATGCCATCCCCAGGTGGGCCATTTTTTTTTTTTTGCAAAAAGAGTGGGGGTATTTGTCTTCCCCCAGAAGCATTCTGCAGGCTTCAGCAGGGCTGGGGGAAAGGGGAAAATGCCCTCGTTTTTGTGAGCATTTTCTGCCCATTTCTCACAAAAACAGGGGCGTTTTTCCCTCCCCCCCCCCACCCAGCCCTGCTGAAGCTGAACCAGTAGTAAAAAAAAATTGAATTTCACCACTGATTCACTAGGTAGCAGGAAATATGTAGGAGACGATTGGAAAGTGTGTAACCTCATAGTACCTCAGCCGAAGGGGAACGAGGAGGGATGCGGCATCCAGGACAGGGTTATATTAAGAAGGGAGTGGTGCAAAGGTGGCCTAGAGGGGTAGCTCTCGCCTCACCATCAGCAGTTCGATACCAGGTAGAGGCAGATATTTCTCTCTCTGGAAAATATATCTGCTGAACAAGACTCCGCATTGGTGACAGGAAGGGCATCAGGCCAGTAAACACTCTGCTAGCCGAGGTGGCGCAGTGGTTAAACTGCAGCTCTGCAGGCTACTTCAGCTGACTGTTAGCCTGCAGAGTGTTCCTGGAGGGCCGGGGAGACATTTTTTTTCCTTACTGAGTGATTTGCAGGCACTGCCCCTCACCCCCCACGGCCCGTCTAAACTTTTTGCCACTGTTTCGGTGGGCACGGCTTGGTGAGGGGGGGTCCTGTGACTGAGTGCGTGTGAGTGACGTCAAGTTGACCACGCCCACTCAGTCACATGCCCCCATCTAGCCACGCCCACTGAACCGGTAGTTAAAAAAAAAATTGGAACCCACCCCTGGAATGGACCACCATAAGATGCTAAAGATCTGCCTTTTTTTCCTCCTCTCAGTCCAGCCCAGTTTCTGCCCAAGTCTCTGTCAATTCTACCAGGATCTCTGGGAGCCTGAAGCTTGGCAGGTGAGTCACAGCAGGGCAGGGCCTAACGCCGACTCCGTACGGAAAGTCAGGTGGTCCTCGACTTACAACATTTACTTAGTGGCCATTGGAAGTTGCCACGACACTGAAAAAAAAAACCCCTTTACTCTGTCTGTCCCCTCTGCAGGTTGAAGTTCTCCTTGAAGCACTCAGACGTGGGGGTCTTCTCGGTAAGACAGAGGAGGGTCTTTCCCCCCCCCCCTGAAATGCCATGCTCTCCCTCCTTCCCAGTTTCTAGAGGTCCCAGCCAGAAACCCAGTTCACACTGGGCTCCTCCTGTTGCCAGGGTCCCAAACAGCATCCAAAAGTAAATCGGAGTCCGAGGCAAAGCATTCCTCAAAAGTTCCCATTGATGAAGAGAGCCATGTTGGCACATCTGGGGAAACCGTAATCTGAAAGCTTCCCAGTTTCCCCCACCCCAGTTGAAAGTTCAAGGTCTTGCCCCCACACCCACCAGTCCATCCCATGGTCCAATCTCCCACTGCCACAAAGACAGTGTACTCTCATCCAGTTCCGGTCCAGTGCAGAGGTACAGAGACAAAAGATGACCTTGGCTTTCTAGGAAGAATGTTGTTATGGCTACATATCATCTAACTCCATACAATCCCATTTTCCCCACCATAGAAAATGCCTAGTAGAAGAATAGAAAGTGTGTCAGGCCAAAGACCCAAAATAAAAGATGGCTGCAGGCCTGACACCTGCCTTCTCCTCTTGGGTTAGATCCTTCTCCTCAACACCTTCTCCTCAACACCTTCTCCAAAGACTTGATGATGGGCTCAGCCCTTCTGGCGGGTCCAGTATGGGTGGGAAACTGGCCAGAAGGACGGCGCCTTTGGGTCTACATGCCAAGGCAGGGGTGACCCTATGGATCTAGGATTGAGGGAGGAGAACCAATCAAGTTGGTTTGGCTTTTCTGATTCTGGATTTCTCTCCCAACGTGCAGGTACAAATGCTGGAATACCTCATAAACTTCCTTACGACCAGCATCCTAATTCCACAGATGAATGGTAAGGACATTGTAAAGTCAAGAAAGACCTTTAATATAATATTATTTATTTTAAAAAAAATAAGATTTTATTGGTAAAACGAAAATACAACATC